ACCTGTCAGTGCTCCTCCTACCAGTGCAATTCCAAGTGTACTGCCCAGGGCAGCAGCCTGCCTGCCAGGAGTAAGTGGGTGACCATTCCTGAAAAGGGTACAAAATCAAACCAGTGATATAAAAAAAATTGTTACACTTTGAGACTGATGATCAGTGTTACAACCTGCTGCCTACTGGATGAGGTGAGTCAGGAAAATATCCTACAATCATTAAGGTTGGAAAAGATCTCCGAGGTCATTGAGTCCAACAAATCCTGACATTGCTGTGTACAGGACAGAACTCACGATTCAATTTGGCTTTTTTTTTTTTTTGGTTTACAGATGGGAACAAGTTCTTTGAGAAGTTTATTAATGTCCTGTAGTCTAGAATACTCCCTGTTGTCAAAAGGGCCAGAATTTCAGAATTTCATCTTTTTAGAGTCTTATGAGATAGTGGGAAAACCCCATTTTGAGTGGTTTTTTTTTTTTTTTTTTTTTTTTTAAATCGTACAATTACCAGCCATGTAATTATAGAGTCATAATGAAGATTTTTTCTGTTTGAATGGTTCTGTGGGCTGTTTTTTAATGATGTTTTCATTTATTTCTTTTTATTTGAGCTTTTAATCTGGAACAAACTTGGCATTTAAACAGTGTGTTAAAGACAGGAGATCAAGAAGAACCCAAATTAAATGAGAATACAATGCCTGACATCAAGTCAGAGGTGCACTTCTGAAAAAAAATCATAATTTGATCCCAAGAGGGTAGCTAATTAGGATAGACCTTCAAAAATAATAAAAAACCCCAAACTTCTCCCTTCTCTCTATAACTCACCTAATTTCCCTTTTTACYGCAGTTACTATGATGCCAGCAATACCTCCCAGAATGCCAGGTAGACCATGCAAATTATGAACTCCACAAGTGTCTTGAATTTTCAGCTTGGATGCCAACACAGGCTGAAATGAGGGGAAATAAGAAGTTTATATGAGTTTATAGTCTTCCATGGTCTCTAGATTGATATGCAACMGAAAGAGCAGAAGTACAAGAATCAAATCATTAATAAAACTCACTATTAGCTGGAATTTACTGTATCTATCCTCCCTTTGTAGCAAACCAAGGGAGCTCCAGGAAAGCCAAAGAGAAAGAAGAAATGGGAGCAGAGCTCCAATACTTACAGTCAGGAATTGGAACCCGAGGACAGAGACAATCCCAGCAATGACCCCAATGAACATGGCAGAAAAAGGGTGGATTGCCAGGTCAGCACAGGTGCCCACTGCTACTCCTCCTGCCAGGGTGGCATTTTGAATGAGAACCTGCACAGGGGACACAGARGGGGAGGTGACACATGAGGAACAGAGGCTTCTTTTAGGGCTGAGTGCCTCTGAAGGCTTTCTCGCACACAGGAGTTTTCTCTGTGTGGGATTTTTCCAGTGAAGAAAGAAAAGGATTTTAAAACATGTGACATGTCCAYGCTGTTGGTTCAAAGCTGCTCTAAGTCAGTTTAATGAAGTCCAGCCTTTGCAAAGACACTAAAATTTCCCTTGAGAATCCAGGCTGAGCCAGTGAGAGCTGCCTCCTGAAACAGCAGCAGATCCTGTGGCTGTGCCTGCTTGTGCTGGGCTCAGATAAATAACTCTAGCTGCTGGAAAGAAGTRGGTGAAAACAGAGCTGCATTTCAGGGAAAGGAGATGGAAGGTTGCCAGCCTGGCAGCCCCAAGCTGGTTTGGTTTTGTCTGTTGTGCAGCTGCGCTGTGAGATTGCAAATGACCTGTTGGTCACTGCCTTGAGTGGCCTGTTTTGGGTCTTGTAATAAGGAAACTCAAATGGGAATCAATAATAATGGGAAACTCAAATCTTTGGAATAAAATCCAAAAGTCCACCTGACCATTGGACTAATGTCACTACAGTCCAAGAGAGAATCATCACAGAATCATTAATGGTGGAAGAGACCTTTAAAATTATCAAGTCCAACATCAAACCATCACCATCACCATGTTTCCTGGACCATCTGCTACTACACTTTCCAACCCCTTCTGGGAAGAAATTTTTCATAACATCCAATCTAAATCTGCCCTGGTGTGACTTGAGGTAATTTTCTCCCATCTCTCAGTTGGGAGAAGAGACTGATCTCCACCTGGCTGCACCTTCCTGTCAGGAAGTTGTAGAGAGGAATAAAGTCCTCCCAGAGCCTCCTTTTCTCCAGACTGAGCCCTCCCAGCTCCGTCAGCCACTTCTCATCACACTTTACAGGTTTTACAAGTTTAATACCTCTAATTCTGGACACAGTATGAACTGGACAGATAGATGGATGCTGGCAATCTTCCTGCTCACCCTTATTGCAGAGGGTTGACTCRATTTAGCAGAGGTTATGATGTGATTCTTACCATGCTGAATTTCCCTCTTTTGTCCACCAGGCTGGAGAGGGCGAAYGTTACGACGGCGCAGGCAGCCAAGGAGTAGTAGGTGTTGATGATGGCTGTGGCCTGGTGTTCCCCACCATCTGCGATGGCAGAGTTGAAACTGGGCCAAAAAAGCCAAAGGAACAGGGTACCTGGATGAATAGAAGCCAAAACCAAACAAAAACCATTCAGCCACAAGGGCCAAGACAACAGAGCAAGCTACGAGAAATGAGGGCGATGATTAATATGAGACATGGAATAGCCAAAATCCTGGAAAAAATACCAGAACATGCAGAAGCTTTTGATGCTGGCAGCTGGGATTTTGACACATGGTTAAAATTATGTCACATGTTAGTGAAAGATTTTAATGACCCCTTGTTGTGCCCCACTGACTGCCAGATCTCACCACTGCTGTGAATACCCAGCAGAATAGGAGGCATAGGAAAGACAGTTCACATGCAAATCTTTTATACTCTGTCAACACACCTGAAAGTTTTAGCTGCTAAATTGGTCTACAAACAATTCTCATGGACAGATATATCTTTCTATCATTCATTACCATGACAGGCACAGCTCAATCTTTTTAATTATAGCCAATTGCTTTGGAAATACTGCTGAAAAACAGATTGAACAAAAAAGGAAGTCAGCCCTAATGCACAGTGAAAACGTTTTTAATTTGATCTTTCCTTTCTTTGAACCAAGAAAAAACTGTAAAAATATGTGTGCCACTGAAAACATGGTGCATGTATGGAATGAAAGGAATTTGCCTCTGGAAGTGCGCTTAGGAAAARTGATACAGCACAATAATAAGCAATCATTAAAAATTAGAGATGAAAGAAGGATGAGCAGCTGATCAGCATTTGATGTCACTTCACTTACCAATCATGGCAAACAGGTCCGAGTGATAGGTGGATTCGTCATTTTCGTGTTTGTTTGTCAGACCAGGACGGTACAAGACRAAGGCTGCAGCCAAACCAAAATAAGCTCCAAAAGCATGGATAGTCATGGAAGCTCCAACATCTGTGGCCTGTAATAGGGATCCAAAATAATGACACTCCTAAAGATRGAGTTTGATGAATGAGAAGTCTAGAGCATTTATTGGTTTATTTCTATGGTAGAAACTAGAGCCTGGCATATGCAWATGAGAAGTGTTACAAAGTGAAAGCATTTGTTGCAAAGAGAAAACAATGCCTGCTAAATAGCTGTACCTCAAATACTTCAGTGACTAGATGTTCATTGCATGCAAAGATGGTGATCTCCAGAAGAGTCAGGATCAGCATCTGAATGGGACTGGTTTTCCCCAGGAGTGCTCCAAATGAAATCAAAGCAGTTGCTGTACTGAAGTCTGCATTTATCATGCTGAAGTTAAGGACAAAAACAAAACAAAACACATTAAAAAAAGAAAATTASTTTAAAAGCTGTAGTATCCAATGTGCCATTAAAATTATGTAATTAAAATATAGAGCTTTAACTCTTCAGGTACAAAACTATTAAGATTGTATTTGTGGATAACAATTAAATCAAACCTTTCCAGAAGGATCTTAGCAGCTGCTGAAGAATAAGTGTAGACGTTTTCCTCCTGCTTATACCATATATGTGCTTAGCTGTTCAAATTATGGTGAAAAGGCAGAGGAGAAGTRTATTGGGATGTGCAGGGATGTCGTGGAATCCCAGAACCATKTAGGTTGGAAAAGARCTCTAAAACCATTGAGTCCARSTGTTAGTCCAGCACTGCCAAGTCCACCATCAAATCATCTCCCCAAGTGMCACATCTGAGTATTTTTTAAAYGCTTCCAGGGGTGGTGATTCCACAGCTTCCCTGGACAGMCTGTTCCAATGCCTGACCACCCTTTCTTGGAGAGATTTTTCCTAACATYCAATCTAAACCTGTCCTGATGCAACTTGAAGCCATTTCCTCTTGTCTTATTCCTTGTTTCTTGGGAGAAGAGCCTGACCCCTACCTGGCTGCACCTGTCAGGGACTTTTGAAGGTTCCCCCTGAGTTTCCTTTTCTCCAGATTGAGCCTCCCCAGCTCCCTCAGCYGMTCCTKGTCAGATTTGTGCTCCAGACCCATCACAAGCTCCTTTGTCCTTCTCTGGACAYGCTCCAGCACCCCAATTTCCAGCCCTGATGGACACTTGGATTTCAAAGATGACAGGGAGGCCTTTGTTCAGATGTTTTRTATAATCCTGGAAGCCTTGCATGCCTTTCTGTCCCTGTTTGCACGAGCTGTCAGGTAGGACCAGTGTTAACACGTTTTGGGGAATGACAAAGAAAAATAAAACCACAAATTGTTCAAAAACGTGGAGCACAGAGAGCCACTGACCCTGTGGGCCCCTCTGCAAATGCCTGCCTGTAAGCATTGGGGAGCTACTTGTATTATTCCTGCTTCCCCTCAGTAACATYTGGATGCTGTTCCTTTCAAAATTGTCTAAAAGTTGTCTCAGAAAACAGAGTGGCCCCCTTGGAAGTGAAGGGCAGAAAGGCATGGAAAGATGGACAGTAAAGCTTAATGAAATTCAGGTAAAGTCTGACCCCATAGATATTGTGGTTATGGCTTCTCCTGACAACCTTTAGGGCTAAAAATATAAATTTTTGTGAATTCACATGTACCTTTTSACATCAACATGAATTTTCCCTTCTTCCATGTGCCAAAATCCTTGCATCAGAATTCCCCACTGGAGACCGAAAGCAGCAATGAGCATGTTGAAGCCAACACTGCTGAATCCATATTTCTTCAGAAACGTCATCAGGAAACCAAATCCAACAAATATCATCACGTGGACATCCTGAAAGACTGAAGGGAAAACATGCAGTGACCGTGAAGAGTGACCACAAAGGGTGAAATGTTTGGGACAAAGGATTAAATACAAAAGAATTCCAAACTCCAGCCATGGATGTGATCCATCCTTCCCTCTCCATGACCAGTCTGCTAGGTGAAGTGTCTGGAAAATGCAACACCTAATTATTGATTATATCCCTTCCTATATCATTATGGAAAGACACTAGATCTCTATATTAATAGATTTAATGTGTCTGGCACTGTCCTCTCCTTGTGAAGCCACCTGGAACATCATCACAGCTTCATGTCCTTACAGAAAAGTTGTGTTCCCCCTCAAATAAAGGTGGTTGGGGCCAGTGTGTTCTGTCTGACTCCAAAATTGTACATGGGATTTGTTTGGGTGRGTGCTAGGTGTCAAAGGAATGCTTGGGATCCCTGGAAATTACTGTGCAAGACATTGATCTGATAACAGAAACAGTAATTTTAAGATAAAGTTTAAATTACAAAAATTAATTTAGTTAATCAGCATACCCTGTTTCATTCAATTATTCATATGAATAACAGAAAGCGTAATTTTAAGATAAAGTTTAAATTACAAAAATGAATTCAGTTAATCAGCATACACTGTTTCATTCAAATATTCATATTTGAAATATTTCAAACATTTCAAATATTAATTTCATATTAATTCAAATATTTGGTTTTTTTTAAAAAATGAATTTTGTTAAATTGTGGCTAGTTATTTTTATTTTTTTGAAGTTATTATTTTTAATTTACTTTTTTATGCTTTTAATACAAACGGAGTCTGTCACCACAACATTGATACTTTATATTTATTTTTTTTTTTACTTTTTAGCTTTGTGTGATTTAATTGACTCTACAGTTTGAATTCTGTAATTGCAGTTTTTTCTCTGATTTAATCGTTAGTAAGAACCTCTAGTATTAAAAAAAATTATTTTAGTTTTTATTTTATTGCTCTTATATGCCAATAAGCATGGAAAACTTGAGCTGGTTAGTRTAATATTTGGCTTGAAGTTACAATTCCCTTTACTTTAACCATTGCTCAGTTTTGCATTACCTGGTTCAGCCAAAAGAGGGCCCAGAAGTCCAAGAAGTTACAGAGGATTCCTAATAAACTGTTTTATATTTGCAGAGTCATCTTCCAGCCCTGCCCTAGCACTGAAATGTGCAGAAAGAGCCTTTACTTTGCATTTTAAAACAGCATTTTTTGATTGCCTTGGAATTACATGATAAACTTTAAGGTCCCTTCCAACCCAGGCCATTCTGTAATTCTGCAGAAATGCAGGCGGTTCACAAACATCTCCAACCCTTTTGCTTCCTCTTGAGGCTGGACATTTTAAAACTCTCTGGTCTTATTTACACAAATGATTAAAAGTCTTGGTTAAAACTAGGTTAATTAATGTGTATTGAGGACAAATTCCTGCTAGTTTAGCCTGTACCTTGAACTTTAAYCCCCTCTCATGCATTATTTTAAAGAAGAGTAGGTCTGGAATGACTTTAAATGAAGAAAACAGCATGATTTGAACTGAACTCTTTCAGTAACYGGCTATGTTTGACAAAGCATAGCAGTTCTATTCTGTGAGACAAGAAAATAAAGATTGGGAAAAATTGTCCAGAAGATCCTGAACAAAGCCCCTACACAGAATCTTACAAGGCTGGCCAAGACTAGCATGTTAACCCACTGTGAAGTGGTCAGTCTCAAGATAGAGATGCTTGTGGCACGCAYTAAAACTGATTTTTCTTGCCCTAAAATTGTAAACCACAGAGCCCTGAACAAGAGGGATTCACAAGTTTTCCTAAGCTGTGATTCATGGATGCTCACAGGACGACGAATACAGGATACCAATATTAAATAAATCCTCTTGGGGTGCTATAGGAACCATCACAYCCCCTCATTCTCCCATTCCAGTGGCACAGCACACCTGAAGTTGCCCATCCAGTTTGCCACTCCTGTACYTGCATCCACCAGAAGCAGATGGAATGCAAAGTTACACTTTGGGAGTGATCTCAGCACAGCTCTTCTTCCTTGAGTGCAAAGCTATGTGGATCCCCTGCTATTATTTTCATYTTTCTTCTGTCCAAACCCACCAAAACAGCAGGAATTCATGGTGTTGGGGTGCCTAAGGCATATAAAATCAGGCTCTGCCCTGCAGTCCTGAGAACAGAAATTAACTCCTGGATGAAACAACTAAATCTCCAAACCTACAGATGGGTGGACATCCTGAGGGATGGCATGGGAAGCAGTTTGAACCCATCATTTTGGGGGCTCAGGGAAACTCCYGGCTCAAGATATTTCCTAAAACACCTATACAACCATAGCAGTAAATTTCTGCTGGGTCCTCAGGTAAATYGTGCTTTTGTTTGCACTTTGCACAGGTAAATTTGAGAGGAAGGGGTCCTAAAAGTGAAAAGGTAGGTATTAGGAAACCCTGCTTTTATTCCTATTATTTATTTGGAATGAGCTTTTTCAGTTCAGCATCTGGTAAAAACAGGTCAAAAGTTCAACCTGATATTGGTACTGTTTGCTTGGTTTGTGCCTCTGGTGTTAAACTGAGCATCCTGGCCAAAAGAAATACAGGTTCTTCTCTCCTCAAAAACTGTTCTTACATCAAAAGTAGTCCCTTATCCATGCTGTGCCTAAAGCCATACATGGGAGGAGGTCAAGGGCCCAAACCCTTCCAGAAGGCAGCTCACAGGTCAATAGGGTGAGCAGCTGAGGGACAAATGTGCAGAAATAACACAGTCACACCCTGCCTGTGCAGGGAGGCATTGGAGACAGCAGGAAATTCCTCCCACAGCTTTTAGACACCAATGTTAGGAAAGAAATAACCATCAGTGATCTCTAACAGGGCAGGTTACTTTTGAAGACCTAAATTTTAGTGTTAGTACGATTATCTGTGCTGTCAAATTATTCCATGGGTTTTGACATAACTTTTTCCTAAGCCAACAATCATCTACTGAGTGACAATGGTCCAAGAGTAATTCCCCCTTCACTGTCTAGAAAAGATGACCTAATTTAGGAACTTGGATGGTTCAATACAGTTGGGGTAGTTTAATACAACACCAGCTAAAAGAGCTCAGTTATATTTCCAGCCTGGAGAAGGGAAGGCTCTGGGGAGACCTTAAAGCACCTTCTAGTACTTAAAGGGGTTATAAAAAAGTGGAAGAATTACTTCTTCAATGGGCAGATAATGATAGGACAGGAGGGAACAATTTTAAATTAAAAAGATGAGAGATTTAGATTGGATATTAAGAAGAAATTCTCCGCTGTGAGGGTGCTGATGCTCTGGCAGCCTGCTGCGGTTGCCCAGAGAAGCTGTGGCTTCCCCATCCCTGGAAATGTTCAAGCTGGATGGGGCTTGGGGCATCCTGGTCTGTTGGAAGGCATTCCTGTCCATGGCAGGGGGTTGGGTAGAGGTGACATTTGAAGTCCCTTTCAACCCAAATTTTGCTTTGGCTCCATGAGCATCGCTGACATGGCCAAGCTGTGTCACAGAGAGAGGGCTCTGGCACAGCCTGAGTGACCACATCTCAGGGATGCTCCACATCCAGTGGAGTTAACCCAAATGTGAGTAATTARCCCCTGATGTTCATCAGCTGATGAATAAACCTGGAGCTGAATAATTCCCTGTTCTCTGACCCTGCTCTCTGTGAGAATACACACCCTGAGATCACACTGTCCTGGCAAAGATGGTTAGAATGAGAGACAAAGAGGGGCACATTCAAAATTGCACAGGTGCCACCTACAGACAGGGAGTTCTGTACCCTGTGATCCTCAACAAGAGCATTGCACTCAGGGCTATGAGTGACTGGAGCCTCACAGCCAAGAAAATGAACAACAAACCTTCAATACTGCCAGGAAAACACAGTTTGGAGCCATGCAAACTTTGTTTTCTGTTTATTCACAATATTCTTATCTTTCCATGAGGAGGAGGGGGTGAGAGAAGTGAGTAACTGCTTCTCAGGCCAGAAGCTTTTTCTGATCTTCACCAAGTATTTGCAGAGTAACAAATCAACAGAAACATTTTCAGGCTAAACCACGGCTGCCTAACAGAGCCATTGTTTTGGGAGAGAGCAGAGCTTTATCCACCTTGTCACAGAAACTATGGCCCTTTGGGGAGTCCAGCTTCCACAGACATATTTTAACAATGATGCATATGAAACTCRATTTCCATGCTCACATATGACAACCTTTCCAAACCTGGATGAACCTTTCTATTCGTTTTAATTATTTAATTCAGTAATCAGAATAGAAAGTCTGGCAAGAAACACCCCCATCTGGAAAATGCTGGACTCTTTCAAAGCAGTACACAGTTCTCCAAGCCTTAACCTGCTGTGCAAACACTAGAACTATTTCCCAGGCTCTTCTCGCTCAGAACAGTAAACTTCTCAGCACTGAGGTACTTGCAGAGTTTTATATGGTTTTGACTTTGAAGCCTGCTGCTTTTCACACCTCAGAAAAATTTGTTTGCCCCAATACARCTTCCTTTTCCAGCTTTATCAGCAGGTCTCATAAGTTATTCAGAAATCTTGCTTAGGTTAAGTTTAAAGAAATTCTAACTTCTATAAATCTTAGACAGCAGTACTTACGTGGGTATAAGTGTATAGCATCTGGAGYTGTTTTATAATCCACAAATACCCCATACAAAACAATGATGATGGCCTCCAGAAGAAGAGCCAGGATGGAGAACTTGAACCTCATGTTGGTGTCAAAGTCTGGAGGCATCGCAGGAGAGCAGGGAGCTGGGAGAGCCTGATAGTGGGCGCTCGCCTTCAGAGGAGCTGACTAATTCTGGGTGATATAGCAGAGAAAAAAGAAAAAAAAACAGAGACGTGAACACGCCGTCACACCCACTATGGGAGGGAAAAAGTGTGGGTCAATATAGTGATTTCGATTTCCCAGGGTACTTCTGTGTGTGAAATGTTGGCTTACAAGTGCTTTTTTTTTTTTTTTTTCTTTCCAGTTTATAATACAAACGGGCTCATTCAGCCACAGTTGCACTTCTCGTTGCCTTATATGTATTTTAAAAAGGAAACAGCCTTCAAGAAAATCTCACAGAGCCTTGTTTGCTGCACGTARTGAGGAACAGTGACTCAATTTTGTTTCCTGTAATCAATAATATTTTTGAGTTGTAGCTCTTCTTTCAAAAAGTAAATAATTTTRCATCACAAATAAAACACGGAAAACCACACCTCACTCTTCATATAGGATGTGATAAGCAAAGAGAATCTCTTTCAGCAGCCTGAAGATGTACTTTTTTTTTTATTTCACAGTGAAGCTCTCATCCTCAGAGCACAAATTCTCATTGCCATCTCCTGTTTAAAAAGGAAATTATTGTACTTCTTTATATGTAAATAGGACATTCATAGTTGTTAAAATAAAAGAAGGCTGTAATTACTAAAAAGAGGAATTTGAAGAAAACAGCTCAATTTTTCATTTTGAATTATTGGTTGTTTTTTTTTACATCCCCCTTAGCTCAGACATTGAAAACAGGTCAGAGACCAAATCTATTACATGGTTTAAAAAGCTTAATTTGCAAACTTTCTCATAAATGGAGGAGAAAATGAAATTTCACTTAGTTTACTGTTGGATGATCTCTTGCTCTTGAGAGTCACATTSCTTGTCAAAATTTGTCTTGAGTCCTCAGAGTTTTGTGGATAAAATATTGTATTGATGGGATAGTGAGTAAATTCATCTCTGTTAATCCAGGATTCAGACTATAGGGACAAATTGTATACTGGAAGCCTTTAATTCATGTATTTGTTAAAAAGAGAGATGATATTGCAGTAGTTGAGTAATTGCTCATGAGGAAGTAGTGCCAGGATACAGCAACAAATGCTGTTTCAGTCCTTGGGAGTGAAAATCAGTGTAATATAGAGATGTTGGGAGATGGGGCTACATTGGGGTGCTGTCCTGGTGAGATACTGCTGGAAAACTGCTCACATGSAGCGAGATTTAAAGAATTTAAAGAATAAAGTTTTTTTTAAGGTACCTCTATTCTGGTGTACAGGGCAGTGCCACGACTTTTTCCTCTGTTTGTAAGGCAAATTAAAAAAATCTCTAATATAAAGGTAGAATGAGATYATTATCCAAATCAAGTTTAATTTTTTTTCTGATTGAAAATGAGTCTGTGGATTTGGAAGGCAAGCCAAAGTGTTTTGCAAGAAAGCACTACTCTATCACATAATCAAGCCTGCAAGTGGCAAAGATAAAATAAGCACCTATGTATTTTTTTCCTTCTTTTGTATTTCTTTTGAGGTATTTCTTTTGAGCAGCTCAAAAAAGAGGAAAGAGAGCTTTGTCAAAAAACCATCACTCATCTTTGCTGCACCACAGGATAGGACACACAGCCAGGTTTGAGTGTGAGGGTCTGTGAGCTCCTACATTGGCTCAGGAGGTGATTCAAAAAGAACAAATTCAAAAGCAAAGTTCATTGGTTTCCTTACCCACAGCTCAGTCATGGATATCTTGCGTATTCATTGCAAAAAGCTTTTCCTGGTGAAGATCTCACATGACAAATGTGCAATCCAGGGATGCAGAAGAAGCTCCTTGCTGAAATRTTATCAGGAAAAGTGCATTTTAATGATGTTTGAAATTTAAAATAGGCCAAGTCCATTCAATCAGGAATTTCTATGAGGTTTTTATTTTAGATCTTGAATCTCATGCAGGTACATACACACACAGAGACACACAGTCTGTATGGGAAGAGTATTTATCCATGTATTTTTCCTTTTTTTTTGCCAGGAAGAATAATTTATCTGTTTTCTCAGTGAGGTGAACCAGTGCCCAGCAGCCACAGAATGGCCCCTGGACACTGGCAGGTGGTTTACACACAAATAGGAATGCTGAAGAAATTATATTCCARTATCTATGTACTCTAATATTCATTCTTCTAAACAAATGAAACATTTTTCTCTCACCACTAACAAGATTGAATCTGCCACAAATTAACTTCAGATATGTCCAACTTTAAGCTAAAAGGACTGACAACACAAGCTGCTAGGAAGAAGGTGTTTTATCCTAGGGGTGGAGCTGGACTGTTTTGCTCACTGCAAAACTGCTGCTCTTTAGGAAATCCCTTTATGTCTCCTTATTAGCTTCATCCCAATCCTGGTGGATATAAATACAATGGAAATAGTCAAGGTGTTCTTTCACAAATATTGTTGCACACTTAGATCTACCAAGTAGCTTTAGGTACTTGTCATTTAAACAGCTGTTGGATTTTTTTCATCCAGCTTTCCATCTAAACACAAATTTTATGTAAAAAAAAAAATTAATAGTTATGGCAGTTTCAAGCTTCCAGCAGGATAAAARTAAGAAATAAAGTGGTTGCTTGAGCAATATCTTACCTAAAGAATGAGAAAGAACCTGCATTTAATAATCTTACAGCATCATTAGGAGTGGCATTCACCTGACCAGACACACTCAGTACATTTCTGTACCTGATCCAACCTGCAATGTTTTACTTTTAAATCACAGACTCATGGAGTCATTAAGGTTGGAAAAAAAMCTCTAAGATCGTGAAGYCCAACCATTAACCCAGCACTRCCAGGTTCACCACTAAACCACGTCCCTCAACACCACATCTACATGGTTTTTTCATATTTTTTTTTCCAGAAGAAATAGAAACTTCCAAGAGTACTTGTTTTCATGTTAAAGGAATTTACCTAAAACACCTGGCTAAACTGGCCAGGTGAATGGAATTGYTCTTTTTGGTCRTGTTTGTTGTCTGGCAGAGGTTCAAATCAGKTTCAGGGTGTCTCCTAGAAGAGTCTGCTGTTATTTAAGGCTCTGAGCTCTGCTCACTGAAGTCTGAGCTACGAGGACCCTGCAGTCAATGTTGTGGATTTGGCATGACTTGGGTGCACACCAATCTTCAGTTTACTTCTTGGTGTGCACTCTTCCTGTGGACACAGCTATGGATATCAGAGAGGTGGAGTAAGATTCATCTTGCCTCCACAGTGTAACAGAAGTATTTCTTAGATCTCCTGAATGTTAAGCGAAACTTTTTTGAGAACATTGACATTTATCCCATTTCTGCGGTGTCACAGTAGAAGCACTTTTTTATTAAACATTAACTTTAATTCTTTGAGTCAGCAGATCCTTCCATCTCCTCAAGTTGAACAAATGCAGTTTGTCTGAGCAGTCCTTAAACTGCCTCCTTCACCTTAAAGAGGGAAGTAATGATCGGGGGGGGTTTCTGATTCCTTGGGCAGCAACAATAAAGTTGCAGAATCACAGAGTGGGTCAGGTTGGACAGAACCACAGTGGCTCATCTTGTCCAGCCCCGCTGCTCCAGCAGGGCCATCCCAGAGCACAGGGCACAGGATTGTGTCCAGACAGTTCTGGAATATCTCCAGTGAGGGAGACCCCACCCCRTCTCTGGTCTCTGTTCAGGGCTTGGTCACTGCACAGAAAAGAAGTTCTTCCCCATGTTCAAGTGGAACTTCCTTGACATCAGTTCCTGCTGTGGCCTCTTTGTCTTGACTGGCTCCAAATCRCCCCCACCAGCCTCTCATCTGATTTCTTACAAAAGCGGGAAACATAAAGTTGCTAATGCACCACTARAAATCTATTTCAGGGAACACTGAGATGTCCAGCGGAAAATGAAAGAACAATGGACAAATAGCAATCACAGATTACAGATAGATGATGGTTTATTTTAGGTTGAGGTTATAGCATGTCTTGCTGAAGTAAATGTGTTTTATTTTTCCATTTGGAATCTCTCACACTTTGTTYTCTAAGTAAGACCTTGCTTGATTACCAAACAGTATTTTTAATCTCTCCAGCACACAAAGAACTGCTGGAAGGTAACACTAGAAGGAATTAGCCTTTCATTCTTTCCTCTAAATAGAAGAGGTCAAATAATTACAACTGGTTAAGCAGTGTTCAGCTAAAGCGCAAATTGTTGAAGAGGAGCACGTTTCACTTGAAAACTTCACTCTTTCATTTCTGYTTTTATTGCATGAGTGTTGCACAGCAGGGGTTAAATGCAGAAACAAACTTTTTGTTGAGGTGCATGCCAAAGTCGCAGGAAAGCTGTTTACTAGAGATAACAGGGCTCTTCTCCCTGTCTGAACTGCTCTTGTGATAAAAAGGACCTACCTCAGCTAAGATGGATGCCCTGCATGCACCTAAAAACTCCAGCTATTATTCTGGGGGGGAAAAAAAAGTAATACTAACAATTAGATGTCTATGTTTAAGTCTCAGATGGTGTGAGTGATGGATCAGACATGTTTATTGACTTTTCTCATTTTAATATGTGTTTCTCTTGCTCCCCATCAGTCCCCTGTCCTCACTTGTGACTGGGGACTTGACGTGGCTTTTCCAGCCCATGGTGAAATCCCTTTCAGAGTCTTGCTCTAAAGGCAAGCAGGTCYCAAGCTTCTGAAAATGCACAAGGAGATGATTCCAGACATGGCAGTGAATCATTTCAGTTGTTTTTCCTCACAAAGGACTGGCTGCCTCTAGGTTTCCAAATCCACTCTATAGCTGTGGGTACACCTGGGTTTGTGTTCACTCTTCAYCTTGCCAGAAGAGCACTAGGAAAGGGCACTTTTAGAGGAAGTTGGAAGAGAATTGCTCTTGAGCATTGGATATTAGGAAGAAATTGAGGGAAGAGTTGAGTGTTGGATATTGGGAAATTCTTCCCTGTGAGGGTGGTGAGGCCCTGGCACAGGGTGCCCAGAGAAGTTGTGGCTGCCCCATCCCTGGAAATGTTCARGTCTGGGCAGGGCTTGAAGCAACCTGGACTAGGGGAAGGTATCCCTGCCCATGGCAGGGGTTTGGAAATGGGTGTTATTTAAGG